CTGAATGGAACACATGCATGCATGTACCTGTGTGCCTGGTCATGACATTAATGCCAGTGACAGGCACTGAAACATTATCTCATTGTTCAAATAAATACCTTTCTGGACCCTCCTAATCTTTTAATACCGACCGTGCTTTCTGGAAATGACTTGCCCATTTCAATGATTCAAAATTTTTCCAAAGCTTTTCAGATGCAAGTGACTGCTCTCTCCAGACCATTGAATGCAAAATCCCATTCTTTTTAAATAGTAAAAAACCCTCCACAACATAACAAGAGTACTTGTTTTATGGCCATGGAATGCTACTTGTATATTATATTTTGTGCACTGTTTGCACCCACCAGGATTCCTCCATTCTTTTTCCATTTTCATATGGAAATTTTACCTGCATCTACAATGTTCTATCATGCATTTGACCTCCTCTTTGGTATGTTTCCTTGTCTGTCTCTCCACTTCATGGATGCTTTTCCAGAGCTTCATTAGACTCACTGGCACAGCACCCACCTTTTGTCTTGGATCACTTGCTGGTCTCTGCTCCGAGGAGAGGCAGCTGGTCCCTGTCTCACCCAGCTCTGCTCTAGTGAGGCTGCAATTTCTGTGCCTCATGAGCCCACGCATCTTTCCAGCTTGTTGTCGTTTTCTGCTCTGCCAGCCCTGCATCTGGACCTGGCACAACCTATAACTGCCTCCATCAAAGGACAATGCACCCTTAATCACAGACGTAAGGTTTTGCAGAAAACATGCAGAGGAGATCTCATTTGGAAGTCCCCATCTGAATAGAAGGTATCATTCTGAACACATCTAATAGGTTTATTAAATTTAAAAGAACATAGAAGTTGAGAGATCCTTTAGAAGCCAGATAATTCAGATATTTCCTTCTCCAACAGCCTTTTGGAAACATTTTTCTGCTTATTCAGTAAATGAAAAATATGAAACTTTTTCCTTAGGTAGCTGAGTGTCCTACAACCAGCTCTCACTAGGCTGAGAAACAAACCTTTTCAATTATTCAGATCACAAAAAACCTCAGAAGTTAATATTAATGACCTTTTAAAAGCTTTTAAGGCAAGTTTTCACAAACATATAGCTAAGTAATTTGCTTTGACTCTTAATAGTTTATGAAAATGTTGTGGTTGAATACATTTCCTGCAGTTTCCTTTGCTTTTGCCTGTGGGCCAATTTCTGCCCCATGGAAAGCATCAGGGTGCTAACAGTGGCTAGGGTGACCTCAGGTGGCCACCTCACTGCAAACTCCAGTCCACTGGGAATGGACAAGCACCTCTTGGGTAAAGCCTTTCACCCAGCCTGGCCCCAAGTTTTCTCTTATAAAGGAATCACCAACTGATGCTAAAAACTCCCGAGCACTTCAGTATCCAGGGCACAACTGTGACCAGCACAAGATCTTTTGGAAGACGCTTGAGCTAGCTCAGACCATGCAGTTGGTGGTGGCAGTCTTGTATGAAGTGCCCCTTCTTTGTGCCTTGCTGTGTTCCTGGTGGCAAGAATGAATTGCCACAAGGAGTCCAGAGGAGAGCTGCATGTTGGTTGGAAGGGTCCTAACAAAAGTGTGCCCTTTCAGAGCTGCAGCAATTTATGCAGAGACAAATCTGCAGAAACACTGTCATGCAGAAATGGGAAATAAATGCTGCAGAGATTAATTATTCAGCAGCTTCTGTGCAATAAAAGGCAAAGGCAAAACTGGCATAGAAGTAGAGGAGACCTTGGAAGCATTCCCTGCACAGACCAGGAAGAGCAAAATCTGTGGTCCTCAAGCATCAGTAGCCTGGTGCATCATGTCCGGGAGATCCAGCCAGTGCTCTTTGGGGCTTTGCAGGTGTGAATATCCACCACTTCCAGGCAGTCTTGGCAGCGCACAGCACAACACCAGTGGAACTTGCACTCGCACTTGGTCATCCTGCTGACGCGGGAGGTGTCGTAGCCCCTCCCGCAGCACATCACCTCACAGCTGTCCATGCCACGGGACGACTGGTTACACACCCGACCAGCTGTCCCCAGGGACCCTGCAAAGGAACAGCAGTGTCAGGGCAGCAGGTGGATTTTAAGGAGGGACAGAAAGCATGTGAAAATAAGTATAGGAGACACAATTTGCAACTCATTTGAGGCCTTCAGCATCCTAACACCCAGGATTCAATGTCAAGCCAGATCAACACCTATCACAAGGTAAAATTGCGCTTAAATTCTCAAATTTCTCCTAAAAATCATGTCTGGAGATGAGAAGTGAACCAAGTATTTCAAGGCTCTGCCTGATTCTGTTAGTATCATCATGCTTTGATTCACCTTTCCATAGCACCTTTTTCCTTGCCAGGGAGCAGATGCCTTCCCCCAGGCTGCCCTGCATCCCCCTCCTACCACCACAGCCAGTCCCCCAGGGCTGTGTGAATGGGACATCCAGGATGGGCACCCCAGTTGTGCTCAGGACCTCAGGAGCTTGGCAGGGGAGGGCTGAGAAAGAAGAGACTGATAAATGTGGTGGCTGCAAGGGACACAATGGGCAGAGTAACCATGCTGCTGGAGGTTAAAGTCTTCGCAGAAGCGAGCACAGAAGCACTTCAACTTCTTGGCATCACTTCTGTGTCCATCCGTGGCCCCATGTGTCCACCAGTTCAGGTGGCAGCTGAAGAGTGACTACTCTGTGCACCTCTCATGTCTGGGGGGTAAGCTCTTCTCCTCTTTTTGATAGCAATTAGAAGAAATTAAATTATAGCCTGCTGTGGACAGGAGGGCTAGGGAAGCATACGCATACCTCTTCATGGTCTTAAAACCTCTCTGCAGTGGCTGAATCACCTCTGCCTATCTCCACATGGCACAAAATGGCTCTTCAAGGCATGTCTTTGCCCAAACAGCTACTGTACCACACAGGAGCTGCTGCTCATCTAACAGAAACTTCTCTCAGGGCACCCTTTGGGATCTGTACCACAGCTGTTGAGATATTATTACTACCAATCTGAAAACTTTACAAGTACTCATGCTTCACCTAATTTCTCATGCACTGCTCTAATAAATCAATTTCAGGTATATCGATGAGATTAACGTTGCTCTGACCTTTTCCCTAGACTGAATTATGGCTCCAGTCTTCTATTCCTGGTCAAAATGGGATTTCCTAAATATTGCCTGTGGTCATTAAGTTAACTGGAAACATTTTACAAAATGCATTCCCAGGTGTACATCAAACATGAACAATTTACCTTCTTAAAGAAAAAAAAATACACGCAGACATTAATCAAATTTGCATGAGCTGGGCTGGCAAACCAATCTTCATTAATAAAACTCAAGCTGTAATTAATCTGTAATTATTAAAAATCTAAGCTGCATAAATTCTAATTTTCTCTTTTTTTCCCTCATGATGTACTTAGGGTTCCATATAGCACTGCTGCTGTACTGAAGCAATAAGCAATTCACAGCACACAAGCATTCATTGTTCCTCCGTCCCCTACTGTCCCCAGCACCAGGGAGACTTCATGCCTTTTCAGACCTGGGCCTAGCCCCTAAGATCCACCTGGATCCCATTCAGGGGGTCCCAGGAGCAGGAGAGATACCACCAGCAATGACCTGCATGGCCACACACCACCCCTAGCAACCCCTCTGCCACACTGCAATCCCTGCAAGGCCAGCTGCCCTGGGGGAACCCGCACAACAGGCAAAGCAGTGATGCCAACAAGCCTTTCCAGATCCTTTTTTCAGGAATCACTCTACACTGGGGGAAGAGAGACTTCCAGTGGCCCCCAGTGCCCCCGATCTAGGCAGGGCTGAGGAGTCAGGAGGATGTAGAGCTTCTTTATCTGCCTCTGGTCCCAAGGGAAGCCAGTGGCAGAAAACAAACCAAACTCTGCTCCCTGGCCACCATATTCTCCTGCATTCTTGATGCTGCAAACAGCTGGGGCACCTGAACATAAATGCTGGTGCTTGTGTCAGCCCACAGCAACATCCACCACATCCCTAACTACACAAAATACAACTCAATAATCACTTCCATAGTCGCTTGTCCTGCCCTCTCTGCTCAGACAAAAGGAAAAAAAAAGAAAAAAGGTAGAAAGACCAAGCTTGCATCTCCTTCTGCATCAGGATTTTGGTGCAAATTCCTGCTCATCCCACCTGCACGGGCTCCCCCTTGACCTGCCTGAGGCTTTACCCTGCTGCAAAGCTCAGCCCAAGTCTTGGTTTGCCCAGGCTGCTGGACACAGCACATTGAGGACAATAACCTCCAACAGCTATGATTTGGGTTAGATTTCAAAATGTCTGGTGTTTTACTCTCTGCATGTGGTTTGTGTGAAGAAGCAGCAGAGCAGGATATGCCCACTGCTTTCAATGGGAGCTCTGCCACTGACTTCAAAACCAGAAAGATTTTGGCTGCTAACACAGTCAGAAGTCTCTGTCATCTGGTACTGCCCACAGCGCAGCACCAACACTTAATGTGCCACTAGGAGAGGGGACTAAATTATCCACAGAACGAGACAAAAGAGAAAACAGGCTCATAGAAACATTTAGTTCCTGAACAAAACCAACGTTTTTTACTAACAGCATCTTCAGCTTCTCTGCAACTTCTCTCATGAGAAAGGAACTGAGCAATAACTGCCAGACGAGTCACTGTGCTCCTTGGTGGGCACTCTGAGACCCAGGCAAGAAAGGCAGCAGGAGACACTAAATAAAATAAGGCAGAGTTTGTTGATCTCTGCCTGCTGCCTCCAGTGCACCTCCCCATCACTTAAGAGGCAGAATGTTCTAACTTGTAAAAAGTTTTTGTGCAACCTCTTTGTTTTCATTTCAAGCACTAGGATTGCCATGCCAACACACAGCATCATACCTGCCAAAACATGACAGCCTTCACTGCTGCCAACTTTATGTCCCAGACATCCAACCTTTTCTTCTTGGTTTGCACAGTTGTTTTCTTAAGCAAACATATGGTAAGGTGAAAAATACATTTTCCTATTCCCAAAGCACTAAAATGGATTTAATTCTTTATAAGGTGAGATTTTTCCTTTCTATTTCTATTGATTAGTTGGCTTCAAACAATAAAGTTCATTATTTGACTTCCACATAAAAGAAACCCCAAAGCAGTGAAATACCCAACAACAATGAACTAGTTTCCATGCAAATGTTGAGGGGGGGCGAAGTTTTAAAATAAATATTCAAAGAAAAGGAGCTCTAAAGCTACTCTTTAAAGTAAGAAAAATTGATGTGGAACCTACATAGAACAGCCCAGTGGGCTGGAGGGAACAGGCAGCACACCCTGGAGGCAGCCCTGCCTGGAGGGGCTGGGATTTGCCCACAGGCAACAAAGAGATAATCAGCTCATCCAGATTCAGTTTGGGGTAAACACGTGTCTCGCTTTCCTTTCCATAGCCCGTGGGGGTTTTCAGAACCCCTCAGCTCCCAGAGGCTCTCGGGGCAATGCCGCTGCCTCCCTGCTGGACGGTGCTGGGAGCCGCCTGGATGGAAGCCACCACAAGCTCCACCATCAGCTTGCACGGGGCTGGGTCTGCACCCAGCATGTCTGCAAAGCCTGAACTGGGAGATATGGGCCAAGAAGTCCCATACTGACTGTATGCAGTTAACCTTGGTGAGAAGTTTTTGACACAGATGAGGGCTGGTGTCCCTCCCAGGGTTCCATGCTTTCAGTACTAACACATCTTACCCAACACCAAGACTTTGCAGGCTACACTTCAGCTTCACATTTTTCTTTCATTATGGACGTGGCCTCACTGATCTCAAAAGTGCAGCAAATGGCTTACGTGGGGCAGCAAAGGAAATGCATTAACACAAAAACACTCCTTTGAAGGACCTGAAGCAGATCACCCTGGGCATGTGGTTTGTCACCCAACACACAGCTCCATGGGGCTGCCTGTAGCACTGCACATGCATCTCCACAGTCCTAACAGTGCTTTCCACCAGGACACCAGGTGTGGAGGGTGTCAGACACAGCTGCAGCATCCCATCTGCCTGTTGAAGATACAAGAGATGGCCACCACAATCCAGGTCCACAACCCACACCCTACACACAGGCAGAGGCAGTGACACTGGCTTTCACAGCAAATTTATGATAATATAAGAGAAGATCATGTAAAGCGTGGCAAAATTTGTAAGTTCATGGCAAGATTTTCAAAAGCCCTCCGGGATGTCCTACCTCTGTTCCTACCAAATTCTGAGTAAAAATTATTTCAGCAACCATGTGAGCAAAGTTAAGTGAATTCTGAGAACTTCTGAAAACCTTCCTTTGGTCTTTTTCTAAAAGTCATTCTCTTGCTATTTGCGATTTCAACATATTATATCTCTCCTGAAAGCAAAGACTCCATTTTTCCTCCAGGACAGACAAAAACAAAAACAAGCCCAAACAAAACATAAAACCGAAAAAACCCTAACAAACAGATTTTTCCTTTTGTAGGGGTGATCCCTGTCTGTACACCCAGCTGCCTCTCCCAGACAGACTGCTACTCCCAGCGGGGTGTATTCAGTCCGAGCACTCTCCTGCCTACTGCCAGAGAGAATCATAGAACAGCATCATAGAATCATCCTGTTTGGAAAGGATCTTGAAGATCATCAAGTCCAACCATAACCTAAATCCACCTACCATAACCTAACCTACCCGTTCAGTGCTTAAATCCAATGGCTAAGCGCTATATCTGTATCCACTTCCAGGGATGGTGACTCCACCACCTCCCTGGGCAGCCTGTTCCAGGGTCCAACTGGAGAAGAGCCAGTGCTAAAAGCTCTAGTGGTAGAAGATGAGGTATGTGGTTTTTTGGACAGGTTGATGATGATACAACCCCTGAGCACCTTGTAATTTACTGGTTCATGTGTGTTAGCACACCCAAGTCACAGAGGACAATGACTTGGCTGTTTTACATTTTGGGAAGCTGTCTGTCTCCTGATCTAGTCATGACGCTTTATGAGATCTGGTCTGAGAATCTTTCATTCAGTCCCAATACTATTTTTATTTTTTTTTCACTGAAGCACTTTTTCCCCCTGAATTCCCCTGAGAATAAAAGGCAGAGCTGTATTCAAGGACATCCTAAGCACTGTGGTATTACATTTTGCTGATGCTGAGATGCTCCCCACCTATTTCCAAACTCAGACTTCCATAATCTCATTTCATTTCCAGCCACTTAACAGGGCTGGCACTCTGGAGCACTCAACAGGACAAACCTAAGGTAATAAAGAAAAAATGCTGCTCAGTTGCTGAAATTACGTCTCTCAAAGCCAGATCAGTTTTTGCTCATCTGATTTTTCCTTTGCTCCATGCGAGCAGCAGGGCACCTCACATCCCATTTAAGGTTTACTGCAGCTTGCCAAAATGTGCTCTTCCAAACAGCAACATTCTCAGAATTTTGGGCAGCAAAGAAACACCACCTCATCCACAGCCTTTATCTCAGGCTGAGCCAAAGCACATGTTGGACTCTGCCATCTCTAGGCAGGCTTGACAGTGTCATGCAAGCCTGTGTGATACGCTGTGGTGGGAACTGCCCACTCTGCCATGACAGCAAGACTGACAGATGAGATCAGGCTTAGTACAAAATTATTACTAAATGGCTTTTTGACACAGGAGCAGATCATGTGTGGGTTCTCCCTTTTGGGGGAAAGCAATCACAGGTTTTACAATGAACAATATAACTTCAAGAAATAAAGTTTTGAATAAATCTTAGTCTGCAAAGTCAGTCTCTGCACAATGCCTCAATATGCCCATTTATTCACTTGGATTAAAGTATTAGACTTTACAGCATTGGCCACCATTCAAGAAACAATATGTGCTTGTGCAGGTAATAAGCATCACCTGCAGAAGTCATAAATAACATATAAAATTACCTTGACTACTCAACTAACCACCGTAAAACATCAGTGTACTGGATGAAATTCTGGGTTCACTGAAGTCAATAGTACATGGTCAGGGTTTTACATATTGTTCTTATTTAAGTACAATTGTTTTGCAATGCTTATTCCAAGTAAACTTGGATTGTAAATAGGCACTGGTGCCAAAAAGAGCTGAGCTGCATTGCTATCCAGATACTCTTGGGTATGTCATACCGGGTGCAATCTGGTATGTTATACAATCTATTAATTAGTTCCACAACATCTTTCATACATTACTCAGTCTGGCTCTGTTTTCCAAATGTCTGGTTTTCTAGTTGCTAGTTTTTAATTGCCACATCAGGAAACACTATACATGGGTTGAGAACCGTCAGCAGGATTCCTGGTGCTTGGCAGTGCCTGGAAACCTGTAACAATGTTATGTGGGTCTCTATTGCAAACTCTGAAAGCAGAAAAATTCAGTGTAAATTAGCAGCCCTGAAACTTCACCTCTTCCCATTGGGGCTGGCACAACCCTTCAGAAGACGTGATGGTTACCATGGTTGAAGTGGCCTAAGCAGCAGTATCCCTCCATGCAGTGTGCTCTGCCCCACCAACATTCCTTCATCCACCTGCATGTCCTCCAGCTGCCTTGCACCATGTTACCAACAGCTGCACTGACTGGTGCAAGCCTGGTGTGCACCAAGCTGCTGTACCTCCTGCATTACCATGCGGACAGGTGTTTTATAACTAGGGGTTCCATGGTCCATGGTAAGCTGCAGGAAACATGGAGGTAAAGGACTACACAGGTCTCGTAGGGGTCTGTACCAGTAGCATAACAATATGGAAGAGAAGCAACTCAACTCGAGGTGGTATCATAGAGACATCACAGGATGTCTCTCTCTATGGGGGCTGCTGTAGTTGTATCTGAAAACTGGAGTGAGCTGTGTGACAGAAGCATGTATGTGGCTGTGCATGGTGTGGACCTGCCTCCAGACCACGATTCAAACTTGTCCTAAAAGCAGCTTTTACCTTGCAGCACCTCCAGGGCTCCATAGCACCTGGAAGAAACTGCTGAATTATATTAGAGCAACTGGCTGTCATACATCTAGGAACATCAAGAAGCTATTGTTCTTGTACAGAGCTGTCCTTCCAAAACATCTTCCTGCCTGCTTCCTGCTGGTTACATGTATGGATTTATACACATATATATACACACACTCAATAATAATGATGATTTTTGACATTCAAAGTACAAACGTCCAAAATAACAATTCATATGTAACAATAGAGGCTTACCTACATCCCTGTCCCTGATACAGTAGTCTGGAGAGCTTTCAAAGTATACGAGGTCATTCTTAGTTGGCTTCTTAAATCTCTTATTAGCCACGGTGAAACCCGTGCCATCTTGATTCATGACCACCTGAATCGCTCCATTGTATTTCTTCCACAGATAATCTCCTGTTTTCCTAAAATCTGCCATGGCCAGCCAACAGGTCCTTAAAGTGCATGATCCACTCACACCGTGACATTTGCACTCCTGTTTCAAAAACCGCTTCACGGCCTGTTTAGAAACGCAGTAAAACACATACAGGTAAAACAAACTGTAATTTATGCTTCTCAACCCTTCTCCATCCATCCTCAAGTGCCAGGCTTCCACGGGGACTCCAAAACACGGTCTGTAGTGACACCCACTGGTAGCATCAAGTCATCCCCACACGGTTGGTCTGCTCTGCTTGCTTGACTCAACCATACATACAATCCTGGGGCTGGTGGGCTTCCCTTGCCTGCTCCTTCCTGCCAGTCATCCCGCGGTTCCAGATGGTCCGTAGTGCCAGGAAACAGACTGAGCAGAAGAAAACGATGTGGGAAACAGGCAGCATCACTCAGCCCCTTGTCAGCCATTTCTCCATCATTCCAGCTGTAGCGTTGCCATGCTGACCCTCTCTAGCTTGCCTGCATGAGGTTGCCCTTCATCCTGAATAGTGTTTAAAATATTGCCCTGAAATTCACTGGCATTTCATATATAAATGCTCTTGCAGAGACTGTGCAAAGCATTGTACCTGGGCTAGGTAGCAAGTCTATGCAAAAATTTTAAATACAGTATTTTAAAAATGTTTATAAACCTTTTAATAAACATTTTAGAATAAGACCTTAATTGGTTTGCACTGCAGAAATTACCTTCATGATTAATTTAACAATTGGCTAGCATTAAAGCTATTTCAGCTTCATCTCAGCCATTTAAGTTACCTGTATGATGTTAGAGAACAACAAATGCGTTCATATAAAATACGTAATTCATTCCTAATTCCAAAGATAGGGATATTTGATCTATAAATATTATGCTCTAGGGGTTAATGAAATATGAACATTTAAGGGTTTGTAGAAGAAGAACTGTGTCATGGAGGGAAGGTAAGAGAGAGGAAAGCTTGATGATTAGAAGTGAGACTGATGCACAGCAGGGCAGCATTTTTTAGTCAAGCTCTCAGTAATAAACTGAGAATGTGTCATAAAACCAAAGTACTTTTAATTTTCTTGGCAACCTGTTTGGAATATGACTATTCAAAGAAGTGACTGACATTCCCACAGCCGCACTTCAGTGCCAATGGTACTGTCACAAAACTGGGATTTAAACAGGTGCTTGGTTTTCATTATCTCAGTAGAAACCAGTTTAACTGCTTGTATCTTTAAAGCAACTCGTTGGAATAGTGGAAGAAGAACACAGGAAAGCAGGAGTTCTGCTTTTGTCAGTGATATTCCTATACTGATATACAGCATATTATTTTGTATGACTCATACAGGAATACTATAAATATTCATTCTACATATTTTTTAATTAGTATAATCTGAATAGTCTAAATTTAAAATAAACATATCAACACCCCTTCTGGGGTGAGAAAAAGCTGAGGGCACAGTTGGTCTTACCCAGATCTAAATGCCAGGCCTGTGGGTGGGCTGAGGCAGTGAGATCCCTGCAAAGTTAAACCTACATTATAGCACCATGGATACAGAACAGCATCCCTTTCTAATAAAGCAGGTCCTTGAGAATATGAGAATGTCTTGATTAAGCTTTTTCTAAAAAAACCCACAAACCTACTTGCTTACTAATCCTTTCTTATTATTTGGCATATGTATTTCTTTAAACCTACTAAGATATGCAGCTTTTACAGGAAGTACTTCCCAGCATGGAGGTAATTCATCCCTATAAAGCCTTTGCTTGTGTTGTAGCCTGCAGCATCTTGAACAGTAACATAAATACAGCCATAGCATTGTATGTGCATATCACTGACCTGAATAGCCTTAGCTGTCTGTATTACATATTAATTAATTACACCTGCTGGTAATAAAGAGGTGGAGGAAAGATGTTGAAGGAGAAACACCAGAGAAATCATTCTACTTGCAGTACAATTGATTAAAATTGGATCTTCTAGTAAGAGCTAGTTAATATAGAACAATTTTACAGTTTATAAAGGGAACTTCTCTGTGAATCATTTCAGAAGTGCTTGGTCTAGCACTATAAAACGTATTTATTATTTCAGATATGGCTGATGCAGCAAATTTTTAGTATGTTTTGAATAATGAAACAGCATATTCCAGTTTCATGGGCTGTTCTTACTATTTATAGCTACCACCATAAAAAGCTAGTGCATGTATTCTGCAGCCCTTGCAACAGTAGTGGGCAATATGCCCAGCAACCACTCCTCCTACTCCCCTACAATAAAAAAGTAAAGACTCTTTTTGTTGAAATCCACGAATGGTATTTTCAAACCATGTTTAGGAAAAGGGGTTTGTTTAGAGCAGTTCATGCCTTAAGGCCAGTGCCTTTTGGAGGGACATGCATTTTGGATCTGTTTTCTTAAAAAGTGAAGTAATGGTATTTTAACTCTGCTCATTTTGTGTTTAGGTTTACCATGTACACACAAGAATGGTCAGGATTATTTTTTTTCTCCAATATTATTTTGAATTTGCTCTTTAATAGTCAAGTTTGTTATTTGTGTGGTTTTCAACCTCCTTTAGGAATTTCTGTTCTGTATTAACCAAAACTAAAACTACTCCAGATAAAAGGATTAGGGTCAAAACAAAACCTCTATGCAAAGTTATTGAGCAAGGAGCCACTGAACTGACTTAGAAGGGAGCACTACTAGCAGCCGAGTTCAGTTTGTTTGGAGATCTCTACCCACTGAACCTCCAAGGGTTCCAGCAACAGCATCTCAGGCTCCTGCTCATCCCACCCTTCCTAACTGCTGAGACCAGCCAGCTAGGTCCAACCATGACCTGCCCCAGACCCCTGAGGGCTCTCCTAGAGCATCTCTAGGCATCTGTTAGACAGACACCAACCTTCCTTCCAGCTCTGTTATTGTGCAGGTTCATCAGTGCCCTTGCATCCTTTCCTCTCCGTTCTTTGGCATCCACAAAGGCTCTGGCAAATTTAACACCGTAGTCGATGTTATCGCTGCAGCCACCCCAGTCAAAGTGGCCCTTGCTGTCCTTGGCAGAGCCTTTCTTCTTGGGATCACAGGAGCAGGATTTCAGCTCCCCTTGGCTACATGCCCTGGTGATGGCAAAAACAACTCCAGCAGAGGAGATGGCATGTACAAAAGCAGATTCCCGACTACCTGAAACAACAAAAATAAATTGTCAGGGTAGTTAGCTTGAGTGGCCCTCCTAACTCCAGCCAGTTACCCTGAACTTCTTGCTGAGCAAAAGATAAAACTGGGCTGAAATCATGCAAATACACATTCCCTGGAGCCAGAATTAGTCATGGCTTAAACTTGGACCCCTCCCTGGTAAAAGCTCATCAATATAGTGCGAGAGTTGGAAAACATTAAATGTTTGCTTCTGATATTGATTAATATACTTTTATGCATCAGTTGTTCTGTACAGATATGTGAATAGGACAGCTGGTATTTTTATCATGTTTCATCAATTTAGAAAAATATATGAAGTGCTATTTCAGAGATAGGTTTAAGAAATTATTAAATAGGGACACTGGAACAACATGTACATTGCAAAATACTGCCAATAACCCTTGAATTTAGCTTTTCCCCTTCTGAAGCACTTAGAATGAAGTTTCCTGCTTAAAAAGTGGTAGGGAGAAACCTTGGGTGTTCTTTTCTGAATATAAATTAAATGTAGGTTTCCTGCCTAGAACCAAGCCTGGTAACCGTAAGTCACACAAACAAGTTCCATTAAATCAGTGGCACTGCTTGTGTCATGCCTGAGGGCAGATCTAGCCTGGCAGCTGTAACTTCCACACGCCAGCTGTGCAGGCAGTTTTCCCTTCTCTTAGCAAAGACACTTTATTACACCAAAGATGATCTGCATTTGTAGGCTATGCCTGCTCTTAGGGTACTGGGTACATACTTCAGTGCAGTAATTGCTTAAGTTTGTTTTAATATATAGTAATTTATAATACAGGGCTCCATTATATTAGTACAATTCTACCCGTGGTAATGAGATGTTTTCATACTTTAAAAGTTTGTAGGCTGGAAAGAGT